TCCAAGTAACATAGCAAAACTTATTTACACACATACTGCATATATATTTCAAAATTATATTTAAATGCATTTTCCCAAAGTTTTGGTGTGTATCCTTCGCCAGAGTGCGCATAGATTCAGGCTACGGCGAAGTGTGGATCAGGGGCGCAAAGGGGGCGGGTCCAAAGACCTCCCTGGAGAATTGGGACACCCTACGCACTCGCACCCTTTATCGGGAACGCGCAAATGAGGGGCGCGAGGGTGGAAGTGCCAGTATTGGGACGGGGCCTAAGTCTGATTTGCACTAAACTTGTCTCGGTTGTTCAACTCCTGGGCCTAGGTCGCCTGAAAGTGTGAACAATGACATTGTACAATTAGCGCCCCCTACAGGCTGAGTAAAACATTTACATAAGGGACACAGCGCATTTAGATTTTCTGTTGTTTGATCTCATATTTGACCCACTGAGCATGCACAAAAACTCACCATATTCTCTTATGGAATTTTTTCTGGCAACAAATGAATTATTTTTATGTCTTTGGTATAATGGTGTGTTCAGACCAAAAGCTTCAAAAAGCTTTTGACGCGCGTCAGCTGACGCCGGGTTATTTTTGTCATTTTGGTGCTTGAAGCTTTTGACGCGAGTGACGCACCTGACGACGTTGAGAGGAGCTTCTCTGTTTCCTGTAGTCAACGGTGGATTTTCCAGAGAGCAGTGAGCTTTTATTTGTTATATAAAGCCAAATAACGTTGTCATGGGGTTTCTTGAGAGGATCAGGCATTCAAAGACAAAAATAACTCAAGTGATTGAACGTTTTCTGGAGGAAAATGACAATAATGAAGTTAACCCTACAATAATATGGGAAGCAGCCAAAGCCACTGTTAGGGGAGAAATTATCTCCTTCTCATCCAGGAAAAAAAGACAGAGGGAAAAAAAAATAAGATACTTGGAAAATAGAATATATAATCTGCAGGAAACCGCTAGAAAGTTAAGAGACCCAACGTATGTGAAACAATTGTCTGAAGCTAAAGATGAATTGGAATGTATCTACCTGGAAGACTTTGAGAAGGAAGCTTCTCTGGCCAAACAAACTATCTATGACTATAGCCCAAAAGCCCAAAAGGTATTGGCAAAGAAAAGAACAGGCTGTTTGTACATTTAATGATGGGGATGTATAAGGAATCAAACGCTCGAGTTAAAGCTAATGGCTCACTTTCTAAAGTCTTCCAGATAAGGAGGGGCACGAAACAGGGGGATCCTCTCTCACCCCAAATGTTTGCCTTATGCATCGAACCCTTGGCAGAATGTATCAGGATAAATAAGAATATAAGTGGAATAAAGATAAAAGAGGACGAACACAAACTAGCACTATATGCAGATGATATTATTGTTTATTTAACAGATGTATCCCTACCAGAATTAATGGGGGAAATCTGTGAATATGAGACGATGTCCGGTTATAAATTAAATTCAAATAAAACAGAGGTGCTGGAAATGGGCTGCCAACTTAAGGTAACTTTTTAGAAAAAGTTCAACCTGAAGTGGGACAGAGATAAAATAAAATACCTGGGTATCGTAATTCCAAAAGACATTGACAAATTATATATGTATAACTATAGAGCACTCTCAGACTCCTTAAAGCAGGACATTGGTAGGTGGAAAATCTTGCCCCTCACATTGTTTGAAAAAATAGAAATAATTAAAATGAATATTTTGCCACGGCTCTTATTTCTGTTTCAGAATTTACCCTTATACCTAACTAATTCATGCTTTAAGGAATGGGATGGCCTCTTAAGAAAAATGATATGGGACGACAAAAAACCAAGGGTCAAACTTAAATGTATGCAGAGTAAAAGAGAGAGAGGAGGACTGGGTCTACCAAATTTGCTTCTGTACAATTATGCATCTCAATTCAAATAAATCCTTACATGGATGAACCGTAAAGTGAATCCAAAATGGAAAAGTATGGAAGCGGATATGGTGGATTTACTCTCCTCCTATATCTTCTCAGAGCAACCAGTGGAAAGATTAAAGAATGTAAACTTAAATATTTATCATACATGCAACATTTGGAAAAATATTTGTAGAAAATGCAAGATAAAGCCAACAGAAACTGTCTGTCTTAGAGAAATCTGCCAGGACCCAGACTTTGTTCCAAATCGTACAGATGAGACTTTCAGAGTGTGGATTACTATTTAAGAACCAAATTTTAGAAACATTTGAAAATTTTGCAAAGGAGTATGATCTTCCAACTCATCACTTTTACAGATACCTTCAAGCAAGATCCTACATAAGTGGGAAAACCCAGCCGGCTCAACCTCCACACCAACTGATTTTACACATCCTGAAAGTCTATGAGAATTCAAATTATAAAAAATTGACAAGACAAATTTACAATATTCTGAATGATGAATACTATAATGAAGTAAACATGATTAAATCCTCTTGGGAAAAGGACCTCCAAAACCCTGTGACAGATGAAGAGTGGAGTTTGGGCTGTAGAAACATGTTCTGTTATTTGAAGTTTCCATTCTGGCAGGAGTTTGCATGGAAGCTGCTGGTCAGATTCTTCAGAACACCTCTGTACGTCAGTAAATGCACCAATCTTGAACAATTCTGCTGGAGAGACTGTGGTGAAACACAGGCAGACCATGTGCATATACTGTACACATGCCCCAAAATTCAGATCTACTGGAATCAGGTCATACAAATGATCAAACATACCTGTGGACAAAATGTTTGCCTGAAACCAAAACACCTCTTGCTTGGTATCCAGCCAAACAGTCTGGAGGAAAAACACCACTACATCTTTTTTACCCTAAGAATAACAGCCATCAAACAATTAACAAGATATTGGAAGAAAACTGAAATTCCCACTATAGCGACTTGGCATGAACTCATTATGCAAATATACAACATGGAAAAAAAGAAATGTAGTCATCTAAGGACATATGAAAATGCTGTGTTCAAAAGATGGTCATCATATATAAATAAATTCCAACAAAAATAAAAACGAGAACATGACAAATAGGATAAAATGATGAATATAGAATCAAATATTATATAATATGACACTAGACTTAACTATTTGTGTGTGTGTGTGTGTGTGTCTGTGTAGGCATGTATATATATATAGGCTATTTTTCTTTTATCTCATTTGGTCTGTATATTTATTTTGCCTCTTTTTTGTTGCAACTAATGACATATTTCACATGGGTGCTCTAAAAATGTATATGTGTATATGCTCAACTGAACCATACATATGTAAAACAAAATATATATATATTGTTCTTTGTTTACAAAGTCTGTACATTCACAGTGCAAAATAAAGACACATTAAAGTATAAAAAAAAGAGAGGCTGCAGTGTTTGATGAGTTTTGTCATTTACTCCAGGGGCTGCGTACAAAGAAGTTTCGCTTTCAGCGGTACTTCCGCATGTCGCTTGCTCAGTCTGAGTTCCCAAACCCCGGAGCTCGCCTCTCCCCACCTCGCTCTCGCCTCGCTCTCGCCTCGCTCTCGCCTCGCTCTCGCCTCTCCCTACCTCTCGCAATTTGATTTGATAGTTCAACTCTCGAATTTGGGTAAACTGAAAGTGTAAAACATGAAATTGCTGCATAAGCGCCCCCTTTAGACTGAGTCCAGTGTTACATGGGGAGAATAAGGTTTAGTTTTTCAATAGAGACACGCAATCATTGATCATAGACATTCAAAATCCACAGTGTCGCTCCCATCAGGGCTTTAGGAAGATGATGCGTCACATGGTCATCCAATGGAGACTGTATATATATGGACACACTCACAGATTGTATGTGTAAACAGGAGCACTTGTATAAAGTCTGATTTGTACCCCGCAACTCGCGCATGCGGTAGCAGTGTGGAGGGGAGTCGCGCGCTGCGGGGAGGCCCATCCATCGTCGCTAGCCGATTGCAAAGCTGACTTGTCCTACCTCAAAGCTGGCTCACATCTGACACCATGTTGTGTTCATACATTAACAACACTGCTTTGGGTAGTTCTCATGGAGCCCATTTATGCATGTGCTCGTGTTCACTTAACACTCCAGGTCTCCCCCTGGTGGCTACTCCTTATAACAGTATAACAGCATAACAACACGATTACACCACAGGTTATACACCAAGATTACTTGGCTAGGCCAAATAATGAATGAGTTAGGATATGTTGAGGGCTTCCTGCCCATCTTGGACGCCATCTCTAAAATTACACTTTTCTAGTGGTCAAACTTTGGTAAACTTTTAGTATGTTATTAAGGACACCTAATACTACAAAAAACATCTGAGAAACCTTTTGTTAGAATTTTTTTGGGGTTAGGTGTTTTTTTTTCATATATGCAGCCGCATGCAGTTGCATAAAGTCACGGGAGCATGAAAACGCATATGTTCACAAGCACTATGTCCCCCATTGTCAACCCTGGTTTTAGTCCTGGTGTAATTCCTGTTTTGCCTGTTTACGAGTATGTTCAGTCTGCTCGCTCAGACCACTATTGTCCCCGTGACCACTTTGTGGCTCTCTGATTGGTCGCTGCACGAGCGTCTCGAGGAAATGTTCAGCAATATTTATCTTCTGCGTGCGTCAATTTTCCGCTCCTGCGTCTCTGCCACGTCTTTGCCGCGCAGTCCGTGCGTCTCTACCGCTCAGTCCGTGCGTGCATCCCGAGATGTACACAGTTTCGACGCTCGCACGCTTGTCACCATTGACTTTGCATTGAAAGTTGACGCATGATCCAGTGTGAAAGCACCATAACAGGCCACAGATTTTTGCAACGATATTCAATGTCTTGGGTTCATGATGCTTTTGAGCAAGCCCTACAAAACCCCGGCTCAGTCCTTCTTAAAAATAACACTAAGAAAAGAAAAAAGAAGTTCTCTGCCAGCTGCATTACACAATTTTCAACCCACACTCCAGCCATCAAATCTGAATTTCTAAAGCACTGGCATCAGACCCAGATATCTTTTACTCCCCTCTTTTTGTGAGTATAAGGGGACAAAATCTGACGGATTGCCTGATGCGGGCCATCTTTACAGGTTAACCAAAGGAACCTCATAAACACTGCTACAACCTACTGGCAACTACCGCTGTGGCTGCCCTGCTCATTGTAACAACACAGTAAAAATGTATAATCTTTTGCAGAAATTCCTGTCATTTATATGCTAAATGCAGATGTGGTCTGGCTTACATTTGAAAAACTAAAATAAATGCTTACCCTAAATATAAGATCTTATTCTATATTGTTGACCTGTATTATGAATGTATATATTGTATGTTGTATTTTTGACAGTTTTCACCTATTTGTGAATGTGATTTATTGTGAAATGTTCTATGGGTGTGGTGACAGTACATTCATATTTGCTTGATGAAGGCGTAACCCCCAAAATGTCACACTCCCAATACATTTTTTACAGTTTTTCAAGTAAAACCACCGTTTTACTTGAAAAACCGAAACACCGGGAATAATTCCTCTTTCTTACCTTCTAGGCTGTATAGGCCTCTCCTCCAACACACCTGGTCTGCAGACATTGATGTGTGTATCTTCTTTCCTGAAAAGGCTGTTACTTAAAAGTGATTGTACTGTAAATTAGAGAAAAATTTAAAACAGCACCACAGCTTGTGCCTAGAGGGTTAAGGCTGTGTATTATGATAATCCAAACAGTCACATCAGAATCAAAGGAGATGGTCAATCACTGTCTAATAACTAAACTCACTAGCAAACTGCATCTTAACTTACTCAAACATCGTCCCAAATACCTTCCTGCCATAAAACAGAGCCCTCTGAACCATTTGTAAATCATCACAATTCACCCACTATGCTTTGCACTATACATGTCAGGGACTCGCATGTAATAACGCTTAATACTTGCACAAACGTGTTAATTTCTTGGTCAATATTGCTCCCTAATGTAAACACATCTTACTTCTTCTAGGTGTTGGCAACAACAACGATGGCATCCTGGTCCTAGGTGCCACCAACATTCCTTGGGTGCTGGACGCTGCCATCCGTAGAAGGTGATTGCTCCACCTCTCTTACTCCTGCTCTGGGTTATGCTGGGAACACAGGAGTTTTAGTGCTATGAGATTTTAAGTTGTGATACAGATAAGAATAATTTGTGCATCCAAATTCTTGCTGTCATTGCTTCAAATTTTAGATACATTAGGAATCAACATTATATACTTATATGGCATACTGGGTTCTGAATTTCAATAGCGTGTCTTCAAGGTCTGGAATGTGCTTGAATTTTGAACAGTGTGCTTGAAATTCTTAATTTTCTCAAACGTTACAGTGTTTTAACATAACATCAGGACTTTAGGCAACGGGAAATAGCATTCAGTACTTTTATAAATTTAATTTTGACTCCATCTCTATGAAAATGTTGCTCCCGTATTTTCTTGCTTGGTTTTACACCTGTGTAACCCAGGTGTAAAACCAAATTCCTAATTTAAATGTAAACCACAAAGGAATGGCTAACATATTTAAGTACTAAATGAAAATGTGTACTTTGTTTATTTATTTATTTGTATATGTGCCAACACAATGCACTGTAGTGCAGCATATAAGTCGCGTAGCAACAGCCAAAACGTTACGTTCAGATCCACGGTGCACGCAACCCCGCTTCCCCTCTCTGACCGGAGTCAAGCAACGAGACACACGCAGCGAGACACACACAAAGCTCAGCTCCATCATTTCAACAATTCAAAAGCGCAAATCAGAGGAAAAATGACATCAATCCAAGCCAAAAGAAGAGTCCTGTTGCTGGCCTGGAGTTAAAGTTGACTGATCGGTAAGAGTTACTTTGTAGTGACCACCGCAACTTTAACGTCCGCAAATGACCAACGGCCGCTACACTAACGGACCTCCTCACTGTTTTAGAGCAGAGAAATGAGAGAAAGACAAGCTGAGCGCAGATTCCGACACCGTTCCGCAAAGGAACGAGAGAGGATTGGTAAAGAATTGCTTGATTGATGATGTGTTGGCTGTTTGTCTCAACAATGTTCTAACCGGTCCGCGAGCGCTCACATCCAGAACCGTGACGTCACTGTGTCCCGGCTCATACGCACGTGAATCGGTGAGAAATGTTGTCTGTGACTAAAATGCTATTGTTTGTTGTTTATTGTATAAAGGGTTGAAATAATCCTATAAATGGTTTATGTATATGAATAATTAGAAAATGTTTGCATACAGAAAATCTCTTTTTGTTGCTATGTACTGTACATGAGAAATATGTTGTACCTTTGAATTAGATTAATTGTCATGACTGGAGCAAGACATTTATTAGCCTGTCTTTTTAATAGAGGTCAGGTCTTTTTAATGAGATTTGGAAACATCTTTGAAAAAGACAACTAGATGGCGAGCCACCCCACCTGAGCCAAAACTGGATGATCCCATTGCAGACCGCATGAGCTATCGGCTGCGTAGGACCGTGTCAGCTGACCCACCTTGAACAAAACTTTAAGTGCACTCACAGACTTTAAGGGTTTATTTTTGGGTTATTTTAAAGGCGCCTATTTATTTTTGTATTTTATTTTACATTACATTGTATTTGTGTGTAATAATTCTTGACATAATTAACTAAATCAATTTAGAATCAGAATCAGAATCAGAATCATTTTTATTGCCACGTAAGTAACAGGAGGTCACAGACTTGGAAATTGCTTTGGCTCAGTGCAACAGTCAAAAAGAGATAATAAAAAAAAGAATAAAAAACACTTCTAAAGAATACATTTAAATTTAAAATAGAGTTACAGTTACTATTTACGATATACAAGTGCACATGGTGCACACAATGTAAGGTGACAGCAGTACAGTGAAGTAAAGTGACGTATGATGGGCAGTAAAGTGACTTTATAAAGGGCGGGGGGACAGGTTAAGAAGTGTTCAAGAGTCCAACAGCAGAGGGGAAGAAACTGTTCTTGTGGCGGGAGGTTCTAGTCCTGATGGACCGCAGCCTCCTGCCTGAGGGGAGTGGTTGGAATAGTCCATGTGCAGGGTGAGAGGGGTCGGCTGTGATACGACCAGCCCGGCCTCGAGCTCGGGCGACGTACAGGTCCTGCAGCGATGGAAGGCTGCGGCCAATCACTTCCTCTGCAGAGCGCACAATGCGCTGTAGTCTCTGTTTGTCCCTGACTGTGGCTCCAGCGAACCACACGGTGATGGAGGAGGTGAGGATGGACTCGATGATGGCCGTGTAGAACTGCACCAACATCTGTGCAGGCAGCTTGGCTTTCCTGAGCTGCCGCAGGAAGTACATCCTCTGCTGGGCCTTCTTGATGAGGGAGCTGATGGTCGGCTCCCACTTGAGGTCCTGGGTGATGGTGGTGCCCAGGAAACGGAAGGACTCCACAGAGGTGATGGGGGAGTCCATCACGGAGGGTGGGGGCAGGGGGACAGTGCTCTTCCTGAAGTCCACAATCATCTCCACTGTCTTCTGGGCGTTCAGCTCCAGGTTGTTACCACTGCACCAGGACACCAGCCGGTCCACCTCCCTCCTGTAGGCGGACTCATCGTTGTTGGAGATGAGTCCAATGAGGGTGGTGTCGTCCGCGAACTTGATCAGCTTCACGGAGTCGTGGCTGGAGGTGCAGTGGTTGGTGTACAGGGAGAAGAGCAGGCGAGAAAGAACACAGCTCTGTGGGGCTCCTGTATTTATAATCCGAGGGTCCGAGACATTCTTCCCCAGACGCACTCGCTGCTTCCTGTCCGTCAGGAAGTCAGTGATCCACCTGCAGGTGGAATCGGGCACGTTGAGCTGGGAGAGCTTGTCCTGGAGCAGGGATGGCAGGATTGTGTTGAAGGCAGAGCTGAAGTCCACGAACAGGACCCTGGCGTAGGTCCCCGGGGAGTCCAGGTGCTGTAGGATGTGGTGGAGGGCCAGGTTAATGGCGTCGTCTACAGATCTGTTGGCTCTGTAGGCGAACTGCAGGGGGTCCAGGAGGGGGGAGGTGAGGGACTTGAGATGGGAGAGAACCAGGCGTTCAAATGACTTCATGACGACAGACGTAAGTGCTACAGGTCTGTAGTCATTGAGTCCTGTGATCCTGGGCTTCTTCGGGACGGGGACAATGATGGAGGATTTGAAGCAGGCCGGGACATGGCAGGACTGCAGAGAGGTGTTGAAAATGTCCGTGAACACAGGAGTAAGCTCACTGGCGCAGTGTCTCAGAGTGGCCGGAGACACGTGGTCCGGGCCAGGAGCTTTGCGGGGGTGCAGCCTCAAGAAGAGTTGTTTAATCTCTTTAGCGGCTATTGTTAGGCTGGGGGCAGGGCTGATGGGTGGGTCGTTAGAGTAGTGGGGGGTGGGGGAGGGAGAGGTGTCAGGGGCAGCATCAAAGCGACTGAAAAATAAGTTCAGTTCGTCAGCTAGCTTGTGGTCATCAGCGCAGGGGGGGGCTTTGGGTTTGTAGTTGGTGATCTCCCGTAGGCCCCTCCAGACAGAAGCAGTATCGTTGTTACCAAACTGCTCCTGTAGTCGTTCTCTGTGCCGGGACTTGGCTGCTTTCAGTTCTTTCCTGAACTGATATTTAGCTGCTTTGTAGCTGCTGCGGTCCCCCTCCCTGAAAGCAGACTCCTTTGCTTTCCTGAGCTGCCGGAGTTTAGCAGTGAACCAGGGTTTGTCGTTGTTATAGATGACCCTGGTCCTTGTTGGAATGATGCTATCCTCGCAGAAGTGGATGTATGACGTCACAGTGTCCGTATATTCATCCAAGCTGTCTGTGGCAGCTCTGAAAAGGTCCCAGTCTGTAGATTTCATGCATGCGCGCAGCTCTTCCACAGCTTCGTCAGACCACACTTTGGAGCTCATCACTGCAGGTTTCGAGAGCTTTAGTCTCTGTCTGTAAGCAGGAACCAGATGTATCATGGAGTGATCTGAGAAGCCGAGGGCTGGCTTGGGAACAGCGCGAAAAGCTCCGCGCACGGTGGTGTAACAGTGATCCAGAGTGTTCTCCTCTCTGGTCGGGCATTTAACTATTGTCTGTCTTTCATTGTGGCTATAGTTCCAACACTTTACATTTGAGCTCTTTAAGAACCTAGTCGTTCATGTTAATTCCAAAGTGGGTTACATGGGAAAAGCTTGGCGAGCCAGCCAGGAGAGCTCTTTCAATAATATTTAATATTTGAAAAAGCCACAACTGAAAGTCAGCCTTGTAATTGCATTGAAATAACAAAATGTATAGTTTTATCTACTGTTTTCATATAACCACTTGTAAAAATGGATATCATTAAGAAGGAAAGTATTAAGGTGCCAAACTCTGTTATTGTGAGTGGTCTGTGCGATACTTCTCAAGAAGAGGAAATATATGATTACCTTAAACAATATGGTAAAATCAATCGTATCATTCCAATTGTTGATGCAGAATCTGATCTCAAGACACAGACCATCTATGAGTTTATATCTGGTGAAGCAGTAGAATCACTCAAACCCATCTTATCCTTGGAGTGTTACACACAAACTGGAGTCACCTATAATGTGAAAGCATTAGACAGTGTTTACACCACTGCAGCTGGAACAGACACCACTCATGCGTTTTTATCTGAGCTAAAGAACATAGCCAAATTGAGTGGAAAGTCTTTTGAGGACCGTTTGAGGGAAGAATTATCAAGAATAACAAAAACACTGGTCGAGGAAACACAAACAGAACATTCAGGAGATGCCCAAATAATATGTGCTCCCTTTTTGCAGCCTGAAAATTCTATGACTCCCTCAGAAACAGCCACTACAGAGCCAAATATGGAGCAGATGAAGCCTCCTCCTGCAACACCTGGGCGTCACACTACATTCAACGCCTCAGCAACTTCTTTTGGTAACTTCCACCTGTCTCCAGATCACATCACCACACCTGAAATACAGCGTGTTGTAGTTGAGCATATAGTAAAGAGTACAGAAATGACCCCACAGTTCTCTCATAATATCAAACTGAGATCTTTCTCTGGGCATATCCCTTGCCCAAGTCACGAAGTAGATTATGAGACATGGCGATCCACTATTGAGTTCTACTTATCAGACCGCTCT